ATTTTGAGCCAGTGTCAATGACTGATAAAAGACAAATATTAACTCTGATTTTTTAAAGTGAGGCTGCTATCACTATCACAAGAAAGAATAACAAATCTTTCATTGCTGAGGTGGTGTAGCAGAATTTTAATTGTTTTTCAAATAAATACAATGATTAGATTTATATTTTGCTGATTTAACCAGTAGTGAAATTTTTACATCATCATTATTTTTCAAGGTACACAAGAATACTCTATATAAAAAGACTTCTTTAAATAAGACATTCAAAACCCCATTATTAGATCTTTGAAATGTCATAGATCTTATTATATTTCATAATTTAAAAAGGAAAAGGTTAGCAGCACAGGTATTTAATTATTCTTTCCAAGCATACATTCATTTAAATGTCTCATTTTAAGTTTTTTTCCCCCTTGGAAGATCTTAATTTTATCTTTTAAGCCAATGAGACTTCAATAAAGGCAATATAGAATGTAAAACACCTCTGGTATTATTATATTCATGTATAAAATGTTTAGTACTGGAGAGTAATGTACACTTTAAACTATGTTTATACTTAAAACAATAAAATTAAAACCAAACTGCAAATATAATGTTTGACAATTTAAGCACCTTTTGGACATCATTTTCCTTCCCCCCACCCTAAACACATTTCCAAAATCATATAATGATTTCAAGTGCATTGATTTTTGGTTGCTTTGTCTGTTACATCTTCTTGCCCCAGGTTTGTGAAGACTTGCTAAATGCAGTTTCCACTGATTAGGAAAGAAGTTGTTAATGCTCTGAGCTTCTACAACAATGAAGTCCAGGATAATACAAAATTTTAAACCAAATACCAGACAGCAGAACCTGTTGGCCACTACTGAGAACTTTGGTTATAAAGCTCCATTTTCTTCTCATGTAGGTACCTGAGACATCCTTAACGTTTCCTGAGACTTTTGCCAAAAAACATGAGAGGGTAGTTAGACCCTTATCAATAGTGGGTTTTCATCCCCAAATCTGCTCTCTGATGATGTGGTTCATTTCTCATTCCAATGGAAGTAGCAGTATGTAATATGCACTGTGCCACCTATTTCCATACAGATTTCTTAAACTCTTCTGATAGTGGAGAAAGGAGCTGTGTCTAACAAGACAGAGCTGTGATTTGCAGAACCAAGGCCTCTACCTATCATTCTGGATGGCAAGAAGGGAACAAAACTAACCATTGGGGCATCAATAATTTTTAGTTCCATGTGCAAACCAGTATGGTCCTTTCAAAACAGACTACATCTGTAAACTTCTATTTTTTGCCCACCATATCAGACTCTGTACTCCTGCTCCTTTGTGAACCACAAGAAGGAACAAATTATTTCTCAGAAAAATACTACTGCAGAGACAGCCACAATGCTGCCCTTCTCATCCCATCTTGCTTGTATAAGCTATGGAGAGAGATGGATCATGGAACCACAGAATGGTTTGGGTTGGAAGGGACCTCAAAGACCATTTGGTCCCAACCTCCCTGTGGTGGAGTTCTGTTCACTAGACCACATTGCTCAAAGCCCCAACCAACATGGCCTTGAATCCTTCCAGGGATGGGGCATCCATAACTTTTCTGGGCAACCTATGCCAGAGCCTCACTGCCCTCACAATAAAGCATTTCTTCCTAATACCTAATACAAATCTATCCTCTTTCACTTTAAAGCCACTGCCCCTTGTCCCATGCAGCTTTCCTGTAGGCCCCTTTAGGTACTGGAAGGTGCTGTAAGGTCTGCCAGAGCTGAAGTTAAATGCTGCCCCAATGAAAAGGCACAGCTGTGTTGTGTGCATATTCAGAAGAGGCCCTGGACTTCTCTTACATTTCTTGCCATCCCACTCTGTTATATTATTAGTTGGTCTCTTCCTGTAGTGATAAAAATGGTATTTAGGTCAATGTGTTCTTTGTTAATTGCATTAGCCATGTGCCTGAGACTTAGGCTTCCTCTCCTCCCAGCACTGCCTTTGGCTATTTAACCTGTGGTCTTTAAATACATGTCACTGTTAACAGTGTACTCAATCTGTCGGGTGAGGTGGATAGAGCCTGTTTTAGACAGACTAAGATAATCAGTGGAATGTTATTTACAAAATTCACATGGGTAGTGAGATCCCTTTTTATATAGAAACACAAGCCAGTTGTTACTTTTTATACTGAGTCTCCAAAAAGAGAGGAAAGAAATATATTTGCGTTCCGTTCAATACTTTTTTAAATTTCTGCAGAATATTTTAGAATTTTATTTTGCATATAGGATCATTTTCCCCTGGGAAAAAATTATTATTATATTGGCTGTTATCTTCCAAGGGTTTTTCTGTGCGTGTTTAAATCACCTTCTATAAGCATAATTTTTCCTCATGTGGTACCAAAGATCAGAACATATTCATTTTCAACCCCACACACATGTATACACTTCCTGAAGCAGATTTAGCAAACAGAAAACTGCTTCTGGCTTGGAAACAGAACATTTCTGTACTTGCAGTGTAGCTAAGTCTAGCAGAAGGAGCTGCATTACTTCAACAATGGACATCAAAATCAAAAGACCTTTGAGAGGTCTATATTCAGATGTAAAGAGAAATGGTTTCTCCCTGTTTATGGAACATCATTGGATTCTACAAGCTAGCTAAAATCCAGGCAGCCAGCTGATAATGAATTGAAGAATTCCAACACCAGCAGAGACTAAGAGCTTCCCTTAGCTAAACTAAAGTTTTGAGTTTAACTTTTCTTTCCCCAAAGACATTTACTACATTTTGAGCAGGAAATAAATATCCTGAAACTATTTGCTAACTGTTCAGCTTTGAAAGATCATACTTGTTGCAAAAGCCTCAAGGCTGGGGCTCTGCAGAATCCTTGTCAGAGGCCCTCGTGCCCCCAGCCCGCGCTGTGCCCGTCACCGCTCGGTCCAGGCAGTTGTGGGGTAGCGTTCCAAGAGTGCGCTCCTCAGCTGGGCTGTGTGGATCTTGTCTCTGGTCTCCACAGTGCAGATCACCTGGAAAAAGAATTAGGACCATTCCTGATGGCATGGCAGCCATCTCAGACAAAGCCATTTCCAACTTAAACCTAAAATACACCCATAAAAACAATCAGTTCAAAATCAAAACTCTAACCCTCACATCCTCTGCCTGTGCAGGTAAGAGAACTGACATTGCAGACATCTGGGGCTCTTCCAGCCCATCTGCAGGACCATAAAACCTTCCAAAACCCTACTTTATTGCCCTTGAAGTCTAAAGAAGACAGGTTGATCCTCTGCTGGCTCTTGGGCAAGGTACCTCTCTGCTCTTGGCCTCCCTGAAGACATCTGTTAGCAGCTTCTCTTTTCCTTTCCCTGGGCTATGTACATGGCATTGCTGCCACCTCACCCACCTCTGACTCTTACCTCATCACATTTCTGTATTTCTGGCAAGTGTTTGTTCCAGTATCTCCATCCTTCAAGCTTTTTGTATTCTCCTTCTCTTGTCTGTCATGGAGTTATCCCCCAGTTCTTTATCATCTCTGCAGTATTTTGGCTGGCTTCACTTCTAACACACCTTCTTGCTTCATTCTGTTTTTTGTTTGCTTATTGCATCACTTCTAGTTTTCTTTTATTGTTGTTCTGCTGCTAAATAAAATAACTTGGGCAAAACCAATCTTGATAGTTTGTTTTTTTTTTTTTTAATTCTTCACTTGGCTCTACAGGTACTATTGAAATCCTCTCATGTAGCCACTAAAAACAATAACTTCAATGGCATTTTTTCAATTTTTCTAGAATTTATCTTTTTTTCATACTTACATCTCAGCCCCATCACTTGAAAGCCTGGGCACTAACAAAGATGAGGCACCAAAGTAAAGGCAAGGAAGGAAAATTATACTTCACAATTTTAAACTCCTAACTTCCATTGCTGATAGTCCTGCTGGAATAATCACTAGTGTTGAAAGTGCCACATGGAAAAAAGACCTCACAGAAACATGGAAATCTAGCAAGGAAAGGAGCCAAGAGGAGTCACAGTGCAGCTACAGAGATCATTGTGGCAGGCAAATCTACAGAGAGCAGAGAAACAATGAGCCACGATAACCTGCTGGTGGGGTGCTCCAGATATGCCCTGTCCAAGTGTTCCTATCACAGCTGCATCCCTTTTAGAAAGTTACAAGGCAAAAATACTTTAATTTATTTACAAAGACATTTCTAATTAAGAACTTCAAATTCATTTTTTCTGGAACTGTCTTAAAATAACAATAAACCTTTAGCAAAACTGTTGAATGAAAATATTAAGCACTAACACTCCAAGTTAATCTAAAGAGCCATAGCTCACTTGTTTAGAAAATTGGCTACAGCTTCTCAAATACCCATCGTGAAATAAGCCACAGTTCTAATCTGGTCTTGTAATTCTTCACCTCTTGTGCTGCACATAGTTCTATTTGTTTGGTTCTTTGGAATGCAAATTAGATGCTAATTTCTTTGTTCTTCAAAAAACTGATATTTAATCTCAAGACAAGGACTGTCATAGAGGACAAGTAATAATGAGGAAGGGGGAGAGAACACAATGATTGGGAAAAGTATCTGAGAGTGCCACTGTACCAAACACCCATTATCCATTTCCTGGTTCATATAAATCCCTACAGCTTTGCAATCATATCTTCAAGGGGACACATGCATCTCATATGGAGTCTGTAATTTTAAAAAGAGAGATTTTTCCTCTTCCATAATAATCATGCCTGTTTTGTCCTGAGTAAATCAATTGCTGCTCCTGGAACCAGTCTGGATGTGACAGATTCAGCCCTGAATGTCTGGTAGCAAGCTGCTGCTCTGCCCTGGGAGCAAGCATGGGGAAGCATTTTGATTTATGGCTAAATATCCTCTCTACCCTTTCCTTTCTGCTCATGATAGAAACCAGGCAGAGCTCACTAGACTGGAGCCAGAGAGCTTGTGAGCAGGTTGGATAAACACTGTCATTTTGCTGTAAGCATGCAGCACAACCAGCAGCTGATAAGGGAGATATTGTGCTGTAGTGTATCATAAAAGTACTAACAGCAACAGCGGTGATAAATAACAATCCCAGAAATTCACCCGATTTGTCACAGTGTCAAAGAAAGGAATAGAGAAAATTTGGTCCCAGCAAGAGTGAAGAGAGAATCACACAACACCTCAGGGCAGCTACAGATCTCAGCAGCAAGAAAGGCAAGAATTTGCTTACTTGCTTAGATTAAGCCAATTTACACTGCAGTTATACTTCCACAAACTTTCTCTCTTGCTTGCTTCACCTGGGACAGAACTTACACGAGTGCCCAACAGAGCAACCCTCACATTCACAGGGAGTTTGTGAATTATATTTTAATATTATGCAGAAACACCCCAGTGCCACTCACTGTAGGAGGTTGCATAGCTATCAATGACCTAAAACTAAGAGCCAAAATGGTCTTATTTAAGAATAAATGACAGAACCTATTGCCTGATCTTTCTTGTACACCAGACAAGGTAACTTATGACAACTAGAGAAAAAATTACTTGAAATATTTTATACTGATAAGCCCTCAGAACTACACATGGGATCTTTGAACCTGCAGAGCTCTTACTGGCTGCAGGGCCAACTCTGCACAGCACACCTTTCTTTTCTGTGTATCAAAAAACCCACAAACCCACCAATAACAGAGTGCATTTTATGAATTTCTCTCCTACATATCATATCTTTGCTGGATTAATTAATTAATAATTAAATAATTCTCTGGTACAGTAAAACCATTCAAATAACCAGACAGATGGATCTTTGCATTTAAAGTTCCATTCCCTGTGACAGGTAATCTGAAGATAAATTTCAGCCAAAGGGTCTAGTCAGCCTGTAAGTTTTTTTCAGAGCAGGCCTACAAGTAATTAAAGACAGAAGAGATTTCACTGAATATTGATGGTTTGTGGGGTTTATATAATGACTGGAAATTACTGAGGATGTAAGACAAAAGGCAAAAAATTTAAACTAAAATATTTACGACAAGTTATTGATGTACAACACCAAAGTCCAGATGCATAAATCCAAATACTCTTCAGAATTACACTGACTTCAAAGAGAGGAAATTTCATAACTTCACAAACTGGAGAAATTTGCAAAGTTCTGTGCTGAATAGGATGGGCATCTCTACTCCCTTTTAACTGCAAGATCTCATAGTGGAGGCAATTCAACCTTTAGATCATATTTTCCTAGATTTTAAAAATGAATTTGGCATGCCTCTCAGCTCCCTGATGCCTACTATTGGTAGGCTGTGCGTGCAAATAAAAACAGTGGGTGGTTGACATGCTGAGCCAATGCTAGAGAGCAGAGGAAATTTGAGTAGTACTGCTGAATCAAGAGATTTCAGTCTTTTGTGCTTTTCCAGGCTTCATGTAAAGCTAATCCTAAATAAGTAGTGCAGTTCTTTATGTCATGAATCATCCATTGAACCTTTGTATCCTGCTTCTTTAATTCTAGGAATCGTATTCATCATCTTAAGCTGTCTTTTTGCACAGATTAGTATTCATGAAAACACCACATTTAGCAACATTATAGGTTTGTTTGCATGAAAGTCACTGGAGTTAAGAGTGAAAACTTGATCTATATACACTGATTTTTGTTCTTTATTTAGAAAAATAGGTTTCTTTAAAAAAACAAATCAACAGCTGGGCAATTTCCCAAATTATTTGGTTTGGGGATCAGCTGCCAGATTGTCCAAGTAATGGAATGCTTGAGAGAGTGCAGCAGCTGTCAGCTGGTTGTGCAACCTGAGCCCTTATCTTTTGGTAACTGGGGCATTCAGGTGGGTGAGCAGGAGCAGGAAGAAGCTACAGCCACATTACCTAGGACAGGTAATAACCAACAGGAGCACTCAGACCCTCCCCAGAGCCAGGCTCTTGTTCTCCAGCTGGGCCAGGCCACCCTGTGCCACAGTCTGCTGTGGAATGCCAGCAAAGGACATGACAGAATTCTTCTGGAGGGGCCTCAGAAGAAATGGAGTGTTGAACTTCCCACTCCCAGTGTCTCTTCCCCAGTGTTGGGGAATGGAGCATGGAAAAAGAGCCTTGCCCAGGGTCATGCAGGAAATGTTTTGAGAATGATAGCATCCTTCTGCACATCCTCCTGTACAGCTGCCTGCTCCTGTGGATTTGCTTCACAGGGAAATAACAGGCAATATATTGGCAACTGGGGACTCTAATCCAAAATATTCCCTTCCATCCTTTACAAAATGCAAGTTGGCCCAAACAAATTTATTCAAATTGACCAGAGCAGACTAAAATAATTTACTGAGTTCTGGCCTGAGGTGAATGAACTGCATGAGAAAAACAGGCAGCACACCACACAAAGCCAGGAATTTCAGCACCACTGGGAGAATGTGTAATGTTACTGAAAAGGAAATATTTGATTTATGATTTAGCATTTTTGTGCAGAGACAAGAGGGAGAAGTAATGTGGTGGATGTTCTTTTTACAGCCGGTCCCTTCCAAGTTATTCAAAACCACAGCAGAGTGAAGCTCCCAAGAGGTCTGAAGTGAACAGACCAGACAACCCATGATGCCAGACAGGAGTGAGGTCAGAGGAGCACTGCCACCACTGCAGTGCCAAAGCCACCCACTGAAAAGCTGCTGGAGCAATTCAAGACCTTGCAGAACACTCCTGGACCTGCCAGTTTGATTATGGTGCAGGGTCAGTGGTAAGAAGACTTCTAGAAAATTGATTAGCTCAGAGATATTTTTTTTTCAAATAGGTTGTCTGAGTCCAAAAATTACACACTTATTAAGCAGGCAAGATGCTAATCTACTTCATAGGAAAGGATGTCCTTACTTTATTAAGTTGCTTATTGGTTTTGCTCATTGACTTCTCTCTGAGCCAATAGTAATATGAAATTAAAGGGACTTAAATGGTTTTAAAGAGGTTTACATATTGAAGCAATTTAAGTGATGAATCGTCCTAATTGAATCTGAGGAATATTACTGATGAAGAACAGAGAAAGTTCACAGAAGCAAGTTGTATCTTCCTGCCATGAACTGAGTAGTCCTTTAGATATCTGTATCCAGTTAACTTGTGGTATCAGATGATTATTTCATTAGCTCAGATCTTTTTTCTGTCTAGATATTCCCAGTCATCTAACCTTCTTCAGCAAGTGTAAAATGTGAAGCCTACCAGACTGGTTTTTTGTCTGATTTGCTAAGAGTTATCTATTTCAATACAGGGACTTTGGAAGTAATTTCTAACCAGTCAGGTAAGACTGAATTAGGGTGTAGTCCTCTGTGAGAAAGAAATCCAGAATGAGTCACAAGGGAAGAAAATCTAAATTGGAGGTATGAGCAGGCAGAATCCTAAAAAAACTCCCATAATATTCCATAGAACATGAACAGCTGATCCCTCTGCAAAAGGCACGTCTTACTCTAATATAGACATATTCCTTCCTTATTTTTTAGTAAAGAAAAAAATCTCTTATTTTTGCCAGTAAAATGTTCCAAAAATTCTTTTTCCAGATTTTTTTTAACATAAAATTTCATTTTAGAAAGTCCTTTTCCTTGAAATCAGACTATCAGCAAGGATCTTCCCACAGAGTGTTCCAAGTGTGCACTAGATGAACACTAACCCAAAAAGGGATTTCACTACAATAAGAAAAACCCATACCAAAGCAGCTCTATCATCCTGATAAGAGATTAGAAGCCAAGTTTCCCCTCTGTTAGAAATAAAAGGGTAAATCTATTAAATATTGAGGCAATAATCTATACAGGACAGATTTAATGTTTCAAATCAGCATCTATGCTCACTGCTGTCATCTGTCAAACACCACAGTCAAAAATACACATTAAAGTCAGAATGAAATGGGTATAGCTGTAATGACTTTCTTGTTGTTACTGCCAAGGTGGTAATTTTGGTTCTTGACCCAGGTTTAAACTCATGCCTTATTTTATGTGTTGTGATTTATATAACAAATGCTTAAAACATTTTGATGACACAGGTATTTGGTTCTTAGAAACAACAAAGAAAAAACCAAAACATCCCTCGCAGGTATTAGCTTTACTCTGAAAATTGGTATTTTTTTATGTACCTGGATAGAGTAAATTCATTTTGATGCTTACATATAAACTCTACATTTTACCCGTTTTGATTACACATGTTTTAATTTTCAAAGAATGCTTCACAATTCTCTAGGTATCATCAGACAGAGCTGCCTGCAGAGGTCTGTATGTCTGGGTCACTACTTTGTATTTCACATCTAATTATCCAATAGCCTCTCCCAGACTGATTGAAAGCCATCATGCAAATCCAATATCCAATTAAATTATTCAGGGATGCAAATTCCTCCCTTCAACCCTTTTGTACTACACTGCCAGATTCTAGAAGTGAAATTAAACTGTGTTTAAAGTGCAGAGAATAGTATATGGCATTGTTTCCATTCAGGGCCTGTATTTACTAAAAACTAAAAAAAAAAAACAACAAAAAACTAACCAAACACCCAAACAAACAAATAAACACCTAAGACAGTAGATTTAATTTGCTTAATAGCATTAGTAAAAACTACAAGCCTCACTCCATAAAAATGGAATTGAAAACTTTATATGAGTTAGAAGTTTTACTGAATCTAGCCTTCAGTGAAAAGCATTTCCAGAGCTAAGTTAGTCACTCAGAGGGATTTATCCACCTCATGCAGTGAGTGTCACGAGGGTCACGCTATCTCCAAATGAGCCAAAGCAGTGAGCTGGCCTATCATTATGGCACACTGCAGAACAATGTGGCTTAAGTCCTAGATGCTTGAGAGTATTGATTATATCATTGTACTACAGTGATCTTTAATCTACCTCTTCTTTATATCTGCAAGTGAAAATATTGAGCAGGCTTTTGCATCTAGGCAGGAAATGAAATGTAAAGGCCAAAATCAAAAGAATTCCTTACCCAGTAGCATTTCTGCACCCCAGTTATGAGCCTACTTAGCAAAGATCTCAAATTTGACTTCCACCCGGGGTTTCACAAACTAAGTCAGGTTGGACCTGGACAGCAACAGCACGAAATCAGTAGGACCACACCTTGCCAAACCAGTTGAAATAAGAGATGCACCATGAGACAAATGGTCCTTTTAATAAACACCAGTAGCTGCAAATACCTCTTCACTATTTCTGCATCCAATACTCAACAAATGGCTTTCCTCTGTGCTCTGGTGGATAGGAAACAAAACTGAGTCCCTGGTTTAAAATGAGGATTCCTTAAGACTAAGGGTGTTCTCCCCATTGCTTTAAGGCAAACATGTCAGACAATTACAGGCAGCCTACACAGCTGGCTCTTCAAGTTCTGGATGGATGCTGCAGCTTGCTCACCTCCTCCAGCACCTGCCACACATGTTGGGATGGTTCATATCAGCAACAGTGCAATACAACATTTGGAGTACTTCACCAGGGTGTTGCAACAGCAAGTAAAACTGGTCCTGTGTTATTTATATGCCTGCTAAGTGTTTGGCAAGAAGCTGCGTAACACAGAGGAAATGATCCCTGACACTCTGCACACTCAGTTGGACTTCTTCAACATAGGCATAAAGAGACAGGAAAACAGAATAAACCAGGAGGAGCCAACAGTATTAGAGAAACTGAAATTGCATCTCCTCTTACCTCGACAGTAAAGAGCTCAGATGTCACAAATGTGCGTTCTTGTTTGATATCCAAAACTCTAGATCAAATAAGGGACAAATTAGAGATCACAAGAATCCCCTGTCATTGCAAAACAGTTTTTGTGTTTGGAGAATAAATATATTTCCTTCTTTCTGAATTAGACACAATTCTATGCTACAAAGGTGTTTTCAGATTGGAACAAAAATGAAGGAAACAAAACCTTTTCTGCAATATAACAAGAAAAAACCTTTTGGTTAATTAATTACTTACAGACTTGGCTTCAGAGATGTTTAGAAACATTTCCCAATCGTTAATAATCTTTGTGCTAGTCTGTGATTTTATTTCCCAGCTATTAGTCTGATTTACCTTGCTTCTTCCCGAGCCAAAATGTCCAGTAGTTTTGACATGTCTCCTGGGCAGTCAGAAATCACAAGGGAAAATCTGCACACTCTGTTATCCAGGGTCAGGGCACGAGCTATGCACTGTTGCAGCAAATGTAATTCCAGGTTTCCACTGCATATAACAACTCCCACTCTAAAAACAGACAGAAAAATACATTTTAATTAGCACTTGCCAGTGTAAAGGAACTATAAATCATAAAGAGTATGCCAATATCAGCCTAAGGTCTGTCAGAACCTCCCTCAATAAGTATTACAGGTTAGAGGACTCCTGCCTCAGTACCCATTGTGAGCAGGTAGGGGAGGCCCAGAAGTTGGCTGCATTAGTTGGTCTGAAATGTTTTAATTTCACATTTCCTAGAGATTTGAGTTTTGTTAGAGATAGTTAGCTGAAGAACTGTAGGTGCAGGTTTCAAGTTTTAAGAATTTGACATAATTCTCACCTGGAAGTTCTAAGCTTCAGCCTCTTACTGATCAGACAATGTGTATGTTCAGGCTTTCTGTAACTGTTGATTAAATTCATCAGAACCCCGCAAAATGAATGCAGAAATGTTTGAAGTGCAAGTGAAGAGCCACATGATTAGTCTATGAAAATCTCTCTCTGCAAAGCCAAACCTAACCTCTTTGCATTTTCCCTTTTATTTTAGCTGTACTGAAATACATTGCTGCTGTGTGTGTACTCTCAGCCTCTTCTGAAGAATTGTCTCAGCAGTATTTTAGCATACAATGCTGTGCACTAGAAATTTTATTCTGTCTCGAGGGCACGTATGTTTTAATACATTCTGGACTATGACCTGAGCCAAGGCGCAATCCACCTAAGTGCTGAGTCCTTGCTGAGAGGCAAGGCAGCACCTGGCCACCCGTTCAGCACTAAGCACAAGGATAATCCCTCTGACTGTGGACAGCTCTCAGGACTGGGGGGCAGGTGCCACTGGGTCACTGCAGCAGACAGCCCAGCTCCTGTCCACCTCAGACAGGGCTGGATTCCACACGAGGAACAACAGAGAGGAGACAACAAGCTGAGCAGAGCAGGACGCTGTCCTGGCAGGTGCAACAGTGCCTCGTGGAGCTGTAACTGCTTTCCCCCAGATATCTGAGAATCGAGGAAAGGGACATGGTTTGTCAGGTCTCCAGGCTGGCATTTCTCTGGTTGAGCACAATCGTACTGCCTGTGACAGGTCCAGTCAGTTTGAAGTTTCTGCCACCGATGAGCCCCTTGCCAGTTCAGGGGCAGGACCTGCCTTGTCACCCACAGAACAAGTAGACTGTCACCATTTCCTAGGACCAAGGTGCTCAGTCCCACGTTTTTGCTACAGTTCCCTGTTTGCAATAGCTGCTGTACCTTTTACCCTTCAGCTCAGGCAGCTTCCCTGCCACCAGTGCTGCAAGACCAATGGCCCCTTCTGCATCAACGGTGGCTCGCTCACACTCCAGCAGTCTCAGCATTGAAATGAGGATGTCCTCCTCCCTGAAAGCAAGAGGTTTGGGTCAAAATCACATCAAAAGAGCTCCCAAAAGCAGAAGATAATGCATTTGTATGTGTAACTGGGTTCATGCCATCCTCCCAGATACATGTGATCCCAAGGTGGTGTAACAGCTGTGCTGCTGGGCATGAATGTACATCTCAGACTCATTCTTAGCTGAAAGACAGGATGGCTTTTTTACTAGAAATATTACCTACATCCTAGTAGTAAGTATATTCCACAAATGTGGCCTTTTTGTGAAGATTTAGAAGAGGTTTGTCAAGGCTGCCTTCAAGTGTTGTAGAACACCAGGACAAGTTTTACACCCAGAGCATGACCAGGTAGTGGTGGCAGGTGAAATTTTGGCCAAAAGGTCAGTTTGGACAACACTTTTTGTCATATCACTTAATTTTAGGTAGTCCTGTGAGGAGCTGGGAGTTGGACTTGATAATCCTTCATGGATCTCTTCAAATTTAAGATATTCTGTGATTTCTGTGGTATGTGGGTCTGGGTTCAAAGTCTTCAGTACCCCTCTTGGAAGGAAAGGTACCGCATCCTCACACTCCCCCATGTTGCATTTTTCATATACAACAATGCCCATCCTGTATTATTAATTTCACTGTTTTTCTTCACCTACCTCACAGCAACAACTTTATCCACAAGCTTGCCAGTCAGCTGCAAAGAATTGCTGCCAAAGCAAACTCCACTCACATCTGCAAATTTCAAAAGACAAAAATATGAATTTGGCTTTAGACATATTCAACATTTTTTAGAGTCCTTGCTGGTTTGTGCCCTTAATGAGTGCAGCACACTGCTGGTACATGACCTTAAGTTGCTTGATTTTTTTTTCATGTGACAGAAATGTCTTTGGTAATGAAAGACCAAATCTCACAAGGAGATTTTGCCATTTTGGGCCACTTCAAGAAATCTCTGATACTTCACTGGCATTGTTGTAGTGTGAGAGTGACCCTGCAGCCCAGTGCTTTTCACTGTTCAATGAGGATTGAGGGAGAGGAGACACAAGCACAGCACTGGGCTTGTTAGCTCCAGCAGGACAGCTGGCTAGGAGTGCAGACACAGGAAGAGCTAGCCATTAGAACTTTCTTACAAAACTCCCATTTAATCAGGCAAACAGGATGTTCTAAAGTTGCTTAACAGATTAGTTTCTTTGAGCAAAAGATATGGAGACAATTCTACCATTTATAAACACTTTTGTTCTGAGAACAGTTTTGTGTCTAAATACTTAAGCACTGTACCATTTTCCTGCCTTTTCCCAAATCAGTTTTTTACACAAGAGCTTTCTCATTGATTTCACTGGTTTAGATGCTGCATGTGAGCACAATGTTCAGACAAATACTCTCATATTTCTATATCCATGTGCACTGGAAATAGTATTTTACTCCATCAAGGTGTGGGGAAAAAAGTGAGAGAAGTTGCTCTTACAGCTTTAACTAAATTCCGACTCTTCAGAGAAGTCCCTTAAAATATGTTTAAACTGAAATAATAAGAAAATAATATAGTTGGAGAAATCTGTTACAACCTTTACTTTACCTCCAAAAGAATACTGCATTTTCTCACCTCCATAGAAGTGATGATTGTTGCAGGCCTGGTCGTCATTTGGGTGGCCAGCTTTTAAGGACTGTTGAAGAACTGGGAAACTTTCAGATTCGACTCCCTGAGGAAGAGAAATGTTGTCACTTTTTTATTGAACCAGTTGTAAGAGAAGTTGCCACCAAAGTAGATAGCAAAGCCTACAGAAATTTTCTCTTCAAATTAACAAATAATTTCAAGTGGCAAAACAACCATGCTACTACTAAACTTACTCCGTGGCTTACTTGGGACAAATCTTTTCCAGTAAGAACTTATTTTAAAACACAGAACTGGATTTTCTTTGCTTAGGAAAAGTCTTCCCATACTTTTCTCTTAAATCCAGCCGAACAGCCAAGGGATAGGAACTTCCTTGGTTCTTACAGGGTCTTTTCTGAGGTAAAGCCCATGGGATCAGATAGTTCCTGTCCCCAGCACAGGCAGTCTCTGCAAGTGTCACGAGATACCAGTGTCTTGTGTAAACAGCTGTGGTGAAAGCCACCCAAACACAATGCTTAATAGGTGAAAGGCAACTTACAATTACAGAAATATGTGGGTTGAGGTGTTTGAGTGCAGCAGCTGACCCTGCCAGCAAGCCACAGTGGCCTCCTGCAGGGAAAATCACCGCGTCCAGCTTTGGCACCTGCTCGTACATCTCCAGCCCCACGGTTCCCAGGCCAGACAGGTACACAGCACTGTCCTCCCTGGGGGGAGGAAGGGCACAGATCAGCAGAGGTCACAGTTGTCAGTGCAGAAATAATAATTCCATCTACTACTTTCAAGACATGGTTCAGCAGAAAAAGATAAATGTGAGAGTAAATCAGCAGCACATGAGGGGAGGAGGTGATGGTGCCATCAGGTGGACCCTAGCATGCTGCTGCCAGCTAGGAGAAAATTTGTGCCCTACTGGGAGAAAATCTGCACTGCAGACAAGCTCCTCAAAGAGTTTTCAGACAGAAGAGCACTTAACTTCCATTGTTATCAGGGGTTTACAGAACTGGCAGGGAGAAGTCATATTTCCATTGCAATCACTTCCTTCAGCTTCATAAATGTTAAATGTTGCAGTCTAAACTACAAGCAAAGCCTCAAAAAGAAATCCCCTCTTTACTTATCAGTGGATTTAGTGTTTGCAATTAATGGAAGTTTTAATGAGATTTAAGTAGTGTGTTCAACCTCTCAAAACTCAAAGAGATTGCTAGAGTTGTCTTTCCACACTTCAGGGCCAATATCTGATGCCTTTGCATGAAGCAAAGCATTTAGTCATGCCACAATATTCACTGGTAAAATACTTTCAGGCAAATGAAGTATAAAGACTAGGGACAAGCAGCATCAAAAAACTGAAGAAAACTTCACTATACAGTCATGACTGACTTGGATCTATTTCTAAAAGCTGGTTGGTATTTTATTTACAAGTTAGCAGCGATGTAAATGTAGAACTACACATAAGAAAAGAAAACAGAATTGTAGAACCAATGACTGTATTTGATTTACTTGACCCAAGGATGTTTGGGTACTAGGATACTGTTTTTATTACTGTACCTGTTAGACAGGCACAGAGAGGCTCAGTGTAGGAGCACAGAATTCCTGCAAGGAGGAGACCAAGGCACTTGAGAAGTTACCTCACATATATATCAAGACACAGAAAATTCCTCAGGGCAAGCGTCTATATTACTACATAGGAGAGGATAGGATCAATGAACTTCCACTCCTGTAGCACAGCCAAAGACAAAGGCAAGAAATCATAGTGGAATGAGTCCTTGTATTTACTGTCTTTATCAAGATACTGAAGGAGCTCTCTCCTCCTCCTGATATGTGACAAAATAGACCACTGGCATCCTGAACAATTCCAGAGACTTATTCCCAAATAAATTTCAGATCTAAGTTTATGGAGGTATCCCTGCTATAGTTACCTGGGGTACAAGGGGACCTGCAAAATGAAGTATTGGGATGTTCCATGAAGAAATAAAACCTCTCTAACAACTGAAAACTGTCCAAACGAGACTGTTCTGGACATGGAGAGCTGTTAGAAATTTGAATCAATATTTCAGTTAATCATGTTTTGTTAACATCCTTGTTAACATCCAGTTGAAACATCAGTTCACTGATTAGCTTTTATAAGGAAATGGGTGATTTTCTTTGAAGTGTGACTGATAACTTTTTCAAAGTGAAAAATGTATCAGATGCCATTGAGGCAAAATGAAGGAAGAGGGTACATAAATCTAAAGACTGTAGACTTAAAAAAGCATTTATGAGCCAGAGCTAGAAACTTGGATATTTGCCTTCTGAAAGGTGTGATACATCAGCAATGAAAGATGGGCTGTCAGGATTTAGTTTTCCAATGAAGTTCTGGTGTGGCAGCTAGAAGGTTCTGTTCCTATCTATTCCAAGTAAAGGACTCAGAGTCTGTTGGACAGAGTAACAGATGAACCAGATCATAAATGATCAGGTTTGGTCAGCATTTAGATCTGGAGTTACACAAGAAAAAAGTGGATGTAAAGTGTGTAATTCAATCTGCAGCACTCTTTCCTCCCTGATTCACAAAGGAATCTTTCTCACATCCTCACAGAGGTACTGAGTTAGCTATTGGCAATAGTCACATTGCATTTATAATGAGGCCCTGAGGCCCTGCAGTTAGTAAAAATTTCATGGCACCTAGGCAGCAATTAGGCAGACTAAATGATTGATTCCAATTTGAAAAATCACATTTCCTTCCTGGAATTCCCCAGGATGTTGCAACTGAGTAACAAGCGCCCTTCACCTATTTGAATTCTTGCATGGTCATTTTCATGACACAGTATTTTAATTGCACTGGAGCAGTGGGCAGAGCTGCCAGTGACACACCCAGCTGCAGGGCATCGCCCTGCGGGGACAGCCCAGCCCAGCCACGCTGGGTCTGCTTCAGGAGGGGCACACTGAGCTCCTGGCTGAGGAGACCCAGAGACCAAATTGCTGGGGATTGTATCCAAGCTAGAATTAAACTGAAATAAAATGACATTTCGCAAGTTCCATTCTAACACCTGGGAGCTCAGCTGGTATTTTACAAACAGCTTTGGCAAGTGACAAGAATGTGTGTCAGACCCACGCTGGAGAAGAGTGGCTATCCATAAAGGCATACATTACACTGGGAAATCTTTCCAGGTCTACGCCTAACAAAATATTTTTCATGTATCCCGTTATGAAAAGCCTCACAATTGAAGTGAAGAATTTATTACTTTTTTTTTTTCCAGTGAAAAATTGCATCTGTGAGGTTTTAATTAAACACAGTCACAGATTGAACAATTTGTTTCTTGTAACCTGAAACAAATCAGAGTATTGTTAAGAGTAGTGTGTACATTTAGAGCTCCTCACTGTTGGATGCTGAAGTTCTACACAGGCATTGTCCCTGGAGCTTCATGAGCCTGGAAAATATCTACCTTTTGTAACTTAAATCATTATTTAGGGTTGAGGGGAAGATTCAACATCAAATTACAATAAAATAATTTAGTTCTTATGTGTGAATGTGATAGCTGATGCAAGCCAGCTGGAGGTTAACACATCCATTGAAAAATGGCAGACAGATATTTGGGAATCACCAAGTTATGGAAAACTGTAGTTTTCAAAGAAGCTTAAAAGTGTTTAAAATTCATTGGGATTCAGGGCACCTCACTCCCCACTGAAAATCACAGTCTGGGACAAGACTGTGCCCATGGTGGCAGACCAGGCCCACGATCCAGCCCCGTGTGTCACTGGCTGCTGGCAGAGCTAACAGAGGAGCTGAACAGTACAGTTTGCAGTATTGCCTTCCCAATGCACCAGCTGGGAAAGAAGTGAGGACTTCTTCTGTCCTGCTCATTCTGGGGTCTTCTTCCCAGCCTACACTCCTCACCTTTTCTGTTTAAGGCAGCAGTGCCTGGGAGCTGGAGGGGAACGGGCACTCCCTGCAGCAGATGCCATACAAACACCAGGAGAGGGATGAAGCCTGCACGGAAGCAGCAATGGTAGAGGGACAATAACATTCTAGCTCAGGGCATCAGAGGGACCATTGTTAATGATTCACCTCTCTGTGCTTTTGGAAATCTTTCTTGAAGAAAGGTCAAAAAAAAGAAAGGGGGTGGGGCAAGGGAATGCATAAGAAACTACAGAGAGTAAAGAGAAAAGGGAAAATGTATGAGTTTTAAGTAGTTTTGCCCATCTTATTTATGTTTTTGTTGGATTTATGGTTTTGTTGGATCTGTCTTGTCCAGTGACCTCAAATAATTCAAATTTAGGTTTACACTCATCCTTAGCTACTTCAAATGTATGTGCGAAGTAGCCTCTTAACCATCTTTTTTTCAAGGCAGTATCAGTTTTGCTCCTCACACCAGATATGTGACAATCTTAGAGCATTAACCTTCTCTTGCTCCACATTATCCCACTGAACCCTTTGCATTAAAGATTAACTTTTACCCTCTTAACTTCAAACAGAGAGACCAGAAATGAGCTTTCTGACAGGTTAATTCTTACTAAAGAATTAACCTATAGCCACTATCACATTAGTCCACAGAAATCCCTAATCACAGAATTTGCCTAATTTAGGGGCAGAGGAGAGTGTTTCAGTTTGGTCTCCATCCCCAGCTGTTACAGAAAGCCGTGATTTGTGCCTGGGAACCCATAACCATCCATATTCCAGGTAAGAGGAGCATTTGGATGAGCTGTGATAACGTTTTAAGGAAACTAATTGCTTTTGCAGAGCTGTGCAGGCATCTAATGAGATGTTTCTAATGCAGCTGGCTTGCACTCACTCTTCCAGGTAGAGGTAGCCGTTCTCCTGGGCCAGCCTGCGGGCGTGCACCTGGGAGTCCTTGGCGGTGGCGCCGTAGGAGATGACCATGGCCCCGTAGTCGCGGCACAGCTTCAGCCTGCCCGGAGCCGTGCTGCTGGGCAGGATGACAAACACGGCAATGCGGAGCTCGGAGGCGTGGTAAGCAACAGCCATGGAAAAGTTACTGTCCAAAGCCACGATCACCCCTTTTCTTTGCTGCTCCTAAAAACCAGGGGTGTTGTTGCGCATTAGACAGCGTCACATAGTTGTCCCATACGATCCTGGGTCATTCTAATGACTGGCTTCCTTTTTTCCCTTTACTAGCTGGTTGAATTGTGGTATTAGGGTGCACTGTATGCATGTCTGGTGGGATCTCAGGATTTACACACAAAGCTAAAACAGCACAAGATCATTCCCTGTGCCTGCACTCCTCTGGGTTCAATTCTTGTTTCATGGGAAAGAGCTGGAAAACTCCAACTGATGACAGAAGAGCTGATAGATGATCCCTCAGAGCTTATATCTCTGCTCTGCCTGTATGAAATGATTTAATTTCAGGCTTCCTTTTAATAGAAGATTTAATTTATATTATTACAAAAGGCAGGAATAACCACTGCTCTGGGCTGCTGTCTCATGCCTATTTCAACAATTATTACTGCAGAGACTCCTATAACAATGGTAATAACCTCCTATGACAAATGCTATTCATGTAAGAAAACTGAAATTCATTACAAAATCAATTGGTGATCTAGATCTTTGTCATCACTCATTGTAATTCAATTTCATCACCACTCATCAGTTTGGTGGTTTCAACACATCAGAACTACAGTACACATAAAAACACTTGCATCTTAATGCCACAGGAAAATGCTGATGTTTCCATTTCGCAAGCTTTTGTTTCAAACATTTCACCAGCAGATCAGCCAATTGTAAATAAAGTAGTATTTTACATTCAGACCTATCTCTGTTCACATGCTGTGTTCAGTACAATGATTCTAAAGACAAGAAACACTGTAATTGCATGGAGATCAGAGGTAAATTTATCTTCAACTCCACTCCATTTTTGTGATTTACTTCTTTTTGAATGCTGACAATTTGCTATACCTGAGGCAATGACATCAGAAGGTAAAGGACACCTCGTTCCTTCACAGACCCTGTGTACTGGAGGAACTCCTTCTTCAGGTAGATGTCCATTCCATACTGCTTGGATAGCCTAGAATACTGGAGTAGATAAACAGTCAATATATCCACTATTAAAATAGATATAAGAAGTATCTTATAGAAGTAAAGTAGATATAAGAAAAATCTTCCACACCCCATCAACCGCCTGGTAAGGTATGAATTCTACTGCTATATATGAGCTCTAAAAAGTAAAATTCATCTTCTGGTTTCTTTATAAATTCACAACAGTGTTGTTACCTACCAGGTCCTTCTGCCTTATGGGAGTGATTTTCAAACTCACAACAGTGAAATATGGACAACGTGTCATTGAAAACTCTGAAAATTGCACTTACTTTGGATCTTATTGTTCAAACACAGGCATTAAAACAAAAATTTTCAATTGTCTCAAGACCCATGCTTCCAGTACTTGCCAGAACTGGATATTGAATACCCAAAAAATAAGGTAATCATCTAATAGATACAAAAGCCATCAGAAAATACCTCCTTGAGCCCGATTATGACTCTGCTATGGTTTCTGCCACTGATTCACCACTGAATGTTGTCTATTTTGCATGCTAAGGCCAGTAGAATATTAGTAAAGACATTTCTTACTCAAAGAAAAATGGAAACAATAAAAAAAACAATTTCCCATGACTGCATGTGTGCGCAGCAGCTGTTTGGAAATGCTTAGTGTTTGGAACAGAAATTATGCCTGAGCTGAGGGGAATTAACAAGCACATTACATGTGATGCCTATGTGCATGATTTTTAAAAATTTTTGATGGCAAATATTTGTTAAACTTTATAATAAAACACTCCCAGCATACATCAACATATTAATTTCCTATTACCATATTCATTAAACCAAGAGTTTTACACAAGATAACTTGTGAAATAGAGCTGCAGCAAACCTGTGGGTGCTGTCTCCCCTGCCTTACTGCAGCTCTATTTCAGAATTGGCTCCATCTCCTTTGTGGCTGCCAAAGAAAATGAGGCCCTGGTGATTTAGGGGATCAAGTTCTCATTTAAGATAAGTCATGAAGTGAGACAGATCCAAAAACAGTGTGACAAAATATTTCTCTCAAGCAATTATCTGGCAGTGTCATACATAAAATGCACACACTAATATGTACTGACATGGTTTTCAGCCTGCAGGACTTTCCAAGTGAATTTATATAAACTAAACATTTCTGAAGCAGACACTTGCTTTAAAGTTTACAGTCAAACTACATGTTTCAGGTGAATGATTCAAGGCTTTTTAGTGGATTTCCAAGCATATGTTAAGTTCCTCACCCATAGGTGGGGCCAGATTCTCTATTTTGCTCCTGAAAATCCTGACATAAGAGCTACCACTTGCTGCTCCTTTGCAAATCTGGCTGCAGAAACTGAAACAATGGAAAGTGCTTAACACACTAATGGGATAACAGTTTATATCCTAAACATCCTGATCCATGGAGAATGCCTATGCAAAATAGAACAAGAACACCATAAAAGAAATGCTACTAGTGCTTCGAATACCATACTTGTATTTGTAGAGAATCTTTGATTCTAGAGCAAACAATCAGAAAAAGGATTTAAGGAGATGAATCCTGTGCATAATAAAGTTGCTAAGTCTCCTTAGCATTTAAAACTGTGTCATTAAGTCTCTTTCCCACAGGGGTGGTGTCCTTTAGATTGATATTTATCTTTAATTTTGATACTCGGGATTTTAATTCTTTAGGTTAACCTTTTAGTCTTCCTTTAACTGAGGATTTTTTCATATAGCCTAAATATAGCAATTCCTTCCTAACAAAGCAGGCATCAGCTCTATTTGCAGTTGAGCTGACCTGATGTGTGACCTCCTAAGACACATTGAACCAGGCTGTAAGGTTTCCTTTTAGTCACTGTGATCTTATCTAAGGACTACAGATACCATGTCTAGAGTACAATACACAGCACAGCCTCCCTCTGCTAACACAACACAGCCCTTACAGCTCCTTCATCAGTAGCCAAACCAGGTTCCAACTTGATGTCAGGTCCTAGTTTTCCTATGCTTACTACCTCTTGGACATGTTGCAATTCACTCATGATGCCATATCTCAGCTTCAAGGAACCTAAGGAACCTTCCTGCCTAAGGAACCATCCATGGTTTTATCTGCAGATTAGAAACCACCCTGCAAAGTGTTTCTCCCTTCAATTAACTAAATGGATCATAGTCATACACACTTATTTAGTCTAAACAAATATCCTTGAAAGGGACTCTTACCTCTACACAATGAGTTAAAAGAAAGGTTTTCTGTTTTTCTTGACATCACTCTGTGTTTTTAAAACAATGTTTGAAATTCACTAATAACTTCTGCAGGAATATTACTTTGAATAACAGTCATGGGCTATTTTCACATTAAAATATATTTGGTTTATATGGGTATAGGTTTTCCACTATTCTGACAATTTTAAAAGCATAGTTCATAAAAAAAGACTAAAGAAAGTGAGACTGTTTAGCTTGAAACAATAAATGCAGAAAAGGGATACAACTGGGTTGTAAAAATATGCCAGGGACACCCAGGAGAAAGGAGCTATTTAAGCTGAGGGGTGTCATTGTTTAACCTCATCTGGCAACTAAATACCATCCTACCTCAGTGCTCTGAGGCAGATGAGAATTGGAAGGGTAAAAGTGAGAAATCTCATGGGTTGGGATAAGAACAGTTAGTAAGAATAAATAAATAAATATATAAATAGCAACAATGTAATTAAAAGGAAAATAACAAAGAGAGATAAATAAGACCCAAGAAAGGCAGCTTATGCAATTGAAAACAATTGCTCACCAACAAACAACAAGCTGATGACCAGCCAGGCCCTGAGCCACAGGTTCCCAGCCAACTTTCCCCCTAATTTTATTGCTGTGCAAAGTGTCATATGGTATAGGATGTCCCTTTGGTCAGCTGGGGTCAGCAGCTCCAGCTGTGCTCCCTCCCAACTCCTTGTACATCCCCAGTCTTTTCACTGGTGGGATGGAGTAAGGAAGAGAAAACACCTTAACTCTATGTAAGGGCTGCTCAGCAGTAACAAAAACATTTCCATCTTATCAACGATATTTTCATCACAAATCCAAAACACAGACCTATACCAGCTACTGTGAAGAAAATTAACTCTACCCTAGCCAAAGCTTCCCTGCAGTCCAGCCATATCTTTTGTGCCAGCTTACAGCCCCAAACTGACTTGTACCACATCCTTTGACAAAAGACACACTTCTTCAGTAATGTGCTACAAAAAGCACAGCTGTCCTTATTTTGGGAATGCTAGGCTAAAAAACCCACACTGGAATTAGTTATGATGTCCCTGGATCAGCAGCTGGGAACAAGAACAACTTTGAGGACCTAACCACTACACTCCAGGGACTGCTAACCCCAAGCAGATTGCAAGGTTCTTACCTTGTGCATGCCAGAAAAACAATCCACAAGGATTCACTGAGAGCATGATTTGTGACTGCTGCTAGGAATTGCCATTTGGCAGACACTCTTTACCCACCAAAAGGAAAAGAGATTACCCAGAGAGCCCAGAGTAGCCTGCTTGAAGAGCTCCCAATGGTAGAAAAACACTATGAAAAAGTATACAGTACAGCTGGCCATTGTACTTCTCTTATGCTTCAGCAGACCTTGTACATTGATGGGGCATCTCAGCCATTTCTACACCAATGACAGGTGCACATGTTTGTGTGCATCCTTATTTTGCTGAAGACATCTGTGGCAGAAATACCTGGTTACAGAACATATCCTGGTTGGCCTGACTGAGAAGGCAAATCTGTACATTCAAACCCTCCAAATATGAGAGCTGGTTCCAAACCAGACCCTCCCACAAGAGTGCTTACCCAAGCACTCGTAGTCTGCCACGTCCAACTCAGGTTCCTTATGGCAGGAGTCTTTCACTGGGAGCATAATACCACAGTGCATTAGGTCTATGCCTAATTTGGTTTATCCTTTGTTTACAGGTCACTGCAATCTTTGAGGATTTAGGTTAGTGTAAACAGATAAGAAGAAAATTATTATTGACAGTTAAATACAATTAATATGAAAATGGGTCTTCTTACACAGATCTATCTGCTGCAAATTCACACATACCCTTCATTTCTGATCGATTTTCACAAGGAAAAGGAAAAGCAACACAGAGAATGCAAAACCATAAAGATTCCTTACCATGCAGGGGGTTTTCTGAACACCACACTGGATTTTGAAGGCTGCTGCACTAATGTCTTCAAATCGAATCAGCCTGTTACAGCTTGCCAGGCTGGTCCTACTGCTCGGCTGAGGGATGCAGGAAAGGGCATCCCTAAGTAACTCCTCATTTCGGCTCACTATCTTCATTTCCCAGGTCTTCACATCCCCGTTCAGGTAATCCTCCTCACCAAAGTCCTTCAGTCTCTCGGGGTTGATAGAGGGTGGCTTCTGCCCAATAAGGCCATTTCTTACAGGCACATCCTTACAGCAGTGAAGATCACAAACTGCTGGGATATCCTGTTTCTTTATTTTATTGTCATCCCTGAAAACAAATAAAAGAAACTTATTAGAAAGGCTTGGATGATTAAAGGCTTGCTATTTAGCATTTTAGAAGGATGCACATCTCAGTTGCTCTTTGCAAGCCTCAAACAGGCAGAGTGAGTTGCTACTGACATAATACCTACCTGTAGGTGCACTGAAAGATACCATAACCTTCCAGCTGTTAGAAAAGCCACAACATGTGGGCAAACTGAAACTGTCCTACCCAAGAAAATAAGAAATATATAATCCGTGCTATCTGGTCAGCAAGACCTTCCTTAGTACTCAGTATTCAACCAGCAACGATCCTAGTTCAGTGCTTCCAAAAATTTTGGAATAACTGGAATTGTGTTTTCTGTACACAAATCCCCCTTTTTCAAAAAAGGCAAGGAGCTGCTGCAGACCATTCCCAAAAACTATTAATAGCATTAACAAATGTCACTACACTGTACACAAGAGGGCTGCTCTCTGCCTTTGCATGCTTGCAGAGCGTACTCTTGACAGCCATCAGCTGCCTCATGACGGGAAGGAAATTACTTTGATAAGGTATAATAATTATATCCTCCTACAGAGCTAAAGAGTTAGGTCTTCCGATCTGTGGGTTTACATTTCATGGGTAAATATCTGTGTAGATATGGAAGAAATGTGATGGCACAAAATCTCTTTCCCCAAGAAACATATGAGAGACAGCACTGCAAGAAAAATTTGCCAGATTTGCTACCTTCAATTGCCTGACTATGGTCCACAGCATTCAGTCCACAAGGAACAATGTAATGTAGTGCAGGAGTTTGCAGTCCTACTAAGAGATAAATGCAAAGCTCCTAGGAAGTCTTGGAATTTGGAGATTACTATGGGAAAAGGAGTGTTAAGCAGAAGACCAGTGACTTGGAAAAGAGCTGGTATCACCCCTGGTTTGTGGCTGTGATGAGACACATGGTATAAGCTCCTCTACATGACTCATGATTCATCTATTTGGTGGAAATGGTTTTCTAAAAACAAACATGCTAAATTCTGTCAGAGATTCCAACATTATCTCTAACAAAAACTATCTACCTTTTTCCTAAAATAATATGGGTCTAAGTTTTGCAGCTATCCATCAACAAGACTGGCTAAAACACATTTTACAGCAGTGATCAACACCATAATATGCTTTGCAGCAACTTCCAAAAGAATTTTTAAATATTTAGAAACATATGTTTTTTGAGTAATTGCCCACTTTGGGCAGTATCATCCATTTCCTTAATGGTATCAATAATCTGTGCCAGTAGCTCTGGTTCCTATTACACTTAAAATTTTTCCACTGAGGAATTCACACAATAATATGGGCAACATAAAATGTTCTATTATTAGAATCAAGTATTATTAGAATCATAGTATCAATCATTCTGTGTATCTTCACAGGAGAAAATTTTTGTAGCAAGATCTTCTCCCTCTAAAGTTATGAGAACACTAATTTTCTAAGACAAATAAAGTATATACACAATTGTAACCTCTTTATGTTGAAACTCGTCATCTAAAGTATTTTCCCAATACTGTATCTTAAAGCTGATACAGCCTAACACCAGGTGTTCTGCTTCAAATCAAATTACTTATCAAGGAGCTCTGTTCTATACTTTTCTGCATCTCTGCTCCATTGGGGTTAGACAGCTGAACAATTCATAAAGATGCCAAGCTTCCAGTGTTAGCTAGGGTGCACATTAGCCTGCTTAATGCAAAGCTGAGAGCCAGATCAGACTGCCTCCCTGTGAACTTGATACAGCACAGCCCCCAGACAACAGCAGCAGCACCCAAGAGGCCACAGCACTGGTAGAGTCCATTCCATACATCTCTCTTCTGAAATAATATTTTCCATAACACAGACTCTCAGAACTGCTCCAAAAGGAACAACAGATAGGTCTTATTTCAGAATATACTGTCTAAAATGTTCAGCAAGCATTAGCAATTAATTATGTTCTTACGCTGGAAATGGTTTAAAGGGTCTGTGTAGGGTAAAAAAAAAATAGGCAGATCAAAAATATGTGAGTTTATAGGTCAAATTTTTTAACCAGCTGGCATTTGAGATGGAAGAACAACTCTCATTTTTCATTGCATCTGTTGCAATCAAGAAGTCTATTAAAATACCCAGCCAAAGATGACCACAAGAAATTTATGAGTGAAGCAAGATTCTGTGAAAAAGTAGAGTGCATGGTAATGCCTCATCACACTAGTGCCATCACATCTGCAAATAGACTAAAATGGTATATTGATTTTTTGCCCTAGTCTTAAGTTTCCCTTTTTTGACAGGAGAAAAAAAAAAAAGGAGGGAAGTAAATCAGATTCTCAGTCCTTAATGTGCAGTACCATTCTCACGACCAGTGGGTATCTGCTCAGGACTCCAATGGAGACAACACCTTGTGATCATTGGAAAAGAGGAAGAGAAATCAAACAGCTGTAAAAGATGTATAGGCTTTTCAGGCTTGAGATAGGTTTAGAGCACATTTGAATTATTACCATCTCAATATTTAATATCATACATTTGCATCTGAAAAGTCAGAAGCCTCTTTATCAAGGGGATCTCATTCTATTGTATATATATGTATTGTGTGTATTTATTTCAGAATAACTTTGATTCTTCTTCTACATCCACATGTTTCATTTAGATTCGAGAATGACATTTTCCCATATTGAGCCCACCTGGATGTGCCACAGACTCTCCTAGAGCTCTCAAGCTCCCAAGGTAAACCATGGGCTGAAGTTTGATCACATATCACAGATGGGCAACTAATGGCCCTGTTGGGTCAGAAGAATTTCTTGCCTCAAAGGCATTCTACATGCTTGGCAGAGACCTATATGGATTTCTTTCACAGGAACAGCCAAAGCAGGCAGCAAAGCATGCAAGTGCTCACAAAAAACACAGCACGTGACTTCTCAAGCAGTCACAAAAGCAGCAGCCATGTCCACCAGATGAAGATCTGAGCCAATATAAATACAAACCCCAGCATTATAAAGCACTGTTCCTTTCAAATGGAGCTTTTCCTTTTTTGGAGCTTGCCACAAGTTTTCATTAAAAGGTCTGTTTATTTCCAGACATAAAACAAATACACAGCTGGCAGGCTATGTTACATGGTTATAAATATGACATTTTACCTTTAAAGTGATTAGTAAAAGCAAACATGTAAATACAGTTTATAAACCTACTTTTTCAAGAACAGCTGCTCAGCATAACTGGAAAAAAAAAGAGAAGATCCATATGCAGACTTTCTATAAACAATTAAGGCACAGATAAAGATATCATTTGCTTAAGTAGATAGCTTTACATATTTTAAAATCTCAAAGTAAATAGTAAGTACCAAAAAAAACAGTAAGTACCAAAATGTACTCCTACAATAAAAGAAAGCAACAACTTGGAATGAATCACTTTTCTATTTCCAGTTTGATTTTTGAACATACTGATAATATTCATCAAGTTAAACAGCACTATGGAAAAAAAAATCAGAAATAGCAATATTAACAAACTAAGAAAATGATAAAACCAGCAAAGATAATTTTGGGAAGATGAAAAGCAATAATTCATACTACACCTAAAGGCCACAACTGTTGCCTTCGTTAGACAGAGAAGTGTCCAAGTGTGCAATGATGGACAGTTATAAGTCCCCATCATGAAGCACATTCAGATTGCCTGCCTCAGGACCCACACGACACACAAAATAAATTAAACGGATGCATTCGATCTCCTCAGCTCCTAAAACTGAAGGAGCAAAATCTGCAGAATCACACATGTCCAGGGAATAGCAAAGTGTGAAAGACTAGTCACCATTCTGCCCAGTATAAATGTTAGGGGGAGATGGTATTGAAGTATCAGGTAGAAAATTTAAAATTTCCCTTCTTAGAGAAAATAATTATCTCACAAAACCCATTGCAAGAGGACTGTATGAAGAGCAACAATGTAAATGGGCTCCTAAAAAATGCACAACTGAATGGAAGTAGTGACCAATACACACATCATTCAAAAATTAATCTGTGATTCAGAAAGCCCCTGAGCATTTGGCAAACTCCATGAAAGCATGTGAGGGAAAGTGGTTTTTATTTTTTCCCAGTTGTGTTACTGGCCACCCCTAGAGAGAGGACACAAAATACACACATAGGACTTCTCTTTGGCCTGACCCAGTGTTGCCATTTTGATTGCAGATGTACCCAATGCCAGCAGTTGGCCCATTTGGCAGCTTTTACACTTTCAAAATGAGTCACAGCACCATATTTTGTGAAGTGAAATTATAGACATACATTCCCAAGTACTGTTTCACAGATGGAAATTCAACTGTCACAAAATGAAAAACTCAGCCTTTCTTTGTCATTTCTACATCAGCTTTTCTCATCTGCATTCACAGTGATACACATTCACTATTAGGAGGGACTGACAGTGTTGCAAAATGTGCAAATGTAAAAGTTTTCTTAAGCATGTTTCTTAAGGATGTTTTTGATGTTTGTGTATTTTCAAGTCTAATCAGCAAGAAGGGAGATTTAATCCATGAAACAGCAGCTAACAAGGTCTAAGTGATGTTCATGTGCTAGAAAAGTAAATTACTTGTTGGTAGAATTGCCTCAGTAATGGTTAGGGCTTGACATGCTTCAATGATCCTGGACCTCATAGGAGGTTAACAAAGCTTGGGGAGAAGGATGTACCACTGATAGTGGACACAAAAAATACAGAATTTATGGGCCCCAAGGACATTTGGCAGAATTCACAAGACAAAGGAGAAACTAACAAAGCCAACTCAGCAGCTGTGCTGAAATCAGCTCTGTCTGGGTAAAAGATGATTCTGGAAGGGTTAAACTGCAACCATCAACCCAAGAAACCACTGAACCAAACAAAAAGGAAGACTTAGCACAAAGAGTAATTAGCATGAGAAACAAGAGAATCCTTAATCAATAGAAGATATAATGCTAATTAATAAGAGAACTTGTAGCAAATGAAAGCTAATTCCTTTGTTTGTTGAAATGTATAGATAGTAAAAAGCATTGATAGTTGGTGTGTTTGATTTGTGGAACGCACAGAGCACCCAGGCTTGTGCAACTCTCAAGTATAATGAATGACTCTCTCAGTGAGCAATTACTGGCTTGTTGCACACCAGGTAAGGAATCTGACTTTTGTGGACAGCAACAGTATGGCACAAGTTCTGTGGGATACTTTAGCATCCTTATAGGCCCGTGCCACAAGAAGTTCCAGTTCCTATGCCCAGCTTGGGCTGAGCAGTCACAAAATGTTAAGCTTGAATACCACTTCAATCTCCTATGCACATGTTCTCTACATGTGGATTTTAATTTTGTCCTTTTTTAATGTTTTGTGTGTCGGGGTTCCTTAAGGTCATACCTATATGCTGCCATCATCTTCAGGCTTCCTGAAGACTTTCCTGGAGCATGCTGGCCAAGAGACTTTAGTAAGATATAGCTTTAGACATATTTGTCATCTGCTTTCAGGTAACTGGGCTCAGATCTTGCACCTCTAAGTTCAGAATACTTATTAAGGCAAAAGGTGACCCCATTAAAAGTCACTTTTGCCTCTTTCCTCAGTGTTGAGCAGAGATGGGTCATGTACAGGGGGCAAGGCAGGGTGAGCAGCCTGCTGCAGTAGCAGTCTGCCTGGCTTATGGCTGCAGTGTGGCTGGGATCTTTTCTTACAAGAGTGAGAAAGAGGCAATCCCAGGATATGACAGAGGGGGCCCTTTCCCTCATCCAAATCCCTTTTACCCAGAACCTCTCCAGCTCCATTAATCCTTCTAATTCCATGTCCCAGTGCTGTCTCCTCTGACCTTTCTCGCTACCTGAGCCTCCCAGACCCCTCTGATACTTTCCTTGTTTGTTGCAATCCCCTTTTCCAGTAGCTTACACACAATTCTGCTCCATCTCAACTCCTCCTCTACCTTTTTATCCATTCTCAAATACATCCAAAGAATTGCAAGAGCAGCAATTCTTTAAAGCATCTCAGCAACTTGCGCAAGTGTGACTTTATGAAAGACAAATGGTAGAAAAATAGAGGCTTGCTGAGATAAAAGTATCAAGAAGGATCATACCAAATGTCATCGTCACTACCAGAAATTCCAGGTTATGCACTCAATAGTGCCTGAGTGCCCTGCACACCACTACAGGGTGACAAGTAAACTCCTGCAGGCACAGGGAAGGAACACAATAAATTTGACAATTCTCTCTCTTTGACAATAAATTCAAAACAGATCAAAAACAATACTGCACATTAAATATGACTGTCTTGAACTATCACTATTTTGATATTGAATTATCAGTATTTTGTCTAATACTAGTACTTAGAAACACCAATTCTAGACTTAATCACTCCAACTAGTGGTACATACAGGATGGAAATAAAAATTGCATGTCTGACCTTTATATATCTAAAGCCTATGCAAAGTGATTGTTACTAAATCACACAGGAATCACCAACACCTTCCCCTAAACAGAAGGACAAGTTCAGCAAATATTAGGCTCAAGTTTATTGATGGAAACTGGGACACAGGCAGATCCAGTGACTTGCCTAAGACTTCCGCAGGGCTATTTATCAGTGTCCTAAAGACAAGGAGGTCGGGGCAGAGGAACCAGTCTGGATGGCAAAAGTGTAAAGCACTGTGACCATCCAGCACAGCTACAAAATAACCAAGCCTTGAAACTGAGCAGGCATTTAAAACTCTACTCAGCATATACAGGCCTGACAAACCTGTGTGACGCTGCACCAGCAACACACACAAAGAAAGCTCAAGCTCATGCAGCAAACAACCAAGGTGTATTATCACCTCTGATAAAATCTATCCTTACTTTTAGCAAGTCAGATCTACCAGAGCCTGAGCCTAGTATATATATATATATATATATAAGCCTTCATCTGTGGTCATAATCTATTGTTATTCCTCGGTACACACTATGCACATGTCATTGCTTACTGCTGGCAATGGCAACTGGCTGTCAGCTGCTAAACAGAAACACTAGGAAAAGCAATCTGAAAGCAAGAACAATTCACAAGGCCACCCATCATGGAAATGTTGAAGCAGAGGTAAACAACTGTCCCTCAAACAGACTCATCCCTCTCAAAAGTTCTTACAAGACATTCATAGATGTGAATGTCAAATGATTGCTATCCAACACTGCACAGAGTTTGGCAGCTAAAACTCATTAAGCAATTAAACCTTTTCTTAAGTTGAATGTATTCTGAGTCTAGAGGTTTTCTGGTGATTTACACATCTCCACAATTCACCTCCAATGAGGAATGAATAGCATAACTCAAAATAGAGGAAAGAGTGGTCCTGTGCTGCAAGGAGATTCACAGTGTACTGCAGAACTGGTCCTATCATGGGTGCCTGTGGGCAAGCCCTTTTCACAGTGCAGAAGACCTTGTATTCTCCTTTATTAACAGCATCAGGCCCACTGAAACAATTTATGTCTTAAATGTTAACAACATCTGTGACAAGGAGATGCAGGAAATGAGAATTGTTCCTTGTTTGTACCACATCTGGCAAGACCAGAGAGTGACCTCAATAGTGGCATTCAGATAATAAAATGGAGGGAAAAACAAACTATGGAAAAGGTTAAGAATGAGGTTGCACAACACCACCATGCCGTGTGTATGCACGGCCGCAGCTCATGCTACACAAGGACACTAGATGACTCAAATTCCAGCTGCACCATCCAAGGCTGAAAACAGGAATTTAAGATCACCCTAAGCACCATAACAAAGACAACCACAGAACCGTAATAACAGGATCTGACAAGGGCTATCCCAAGATAAATTTTCAGCAGTCCACTGGCCTGTCTAGAGTTATTTCTGACACAGTACTCGTGAAGAAATAAAAAAGCTAAAAATATTCAAATCTCCACCACTTCTAGTGGATAACCCCAAGAGCAACCCATATACACACAATGCTGGGAAATTATGGGAAATCACAAACAATTTCCTGGATTTTTTTGTTAGGTTTGATTTTTTAAAGAAATTAAGGAAAGGAAAAAGAAAGCATTACCTATACAGCACAGCGACTAAATAAACAATGAGGCGAAGCAAAACTCCAACTACGACACCATAAGGAGGCAGGAGGGGTCCAGGGGTTGTCATGTCCGTGGGCCTGGCCCTGGGTGGACCCCGAGGGCTGACCGTGACCCCTGAGGGGGATAAAGGAGCGCTCTAGCTCTAAGTCACACAGCAATATTCTCCAACCTTTGCCAGAAAGGATCGTAGTCTTCGTCTTCCCTGGAGCGCTCCCTGGGACTTCTGTATTTTAGGACCCTGAAGTAGATAAACTGTGCTGCAAAATTCATTGTAACTCCTGGAGCAAAGCAAAGCTGGGAGGCTGCTGGCAGGGGACACACTTGCCTGCACTGCCTGGGTGGGAAAGAGCAGGCAGTGTGCTGTAAGGGCTGGCCGGGGGGGAAGTGCCTTTGAAAGAGATGGCTGCTGCTATTTAAAGAGATTTATTCAGAGCCCAACCTGTCCTTGTCAATTTGAGTCAGGGCCTGGATTATGCTCGGGTGACGCTCTGTTAGCAGGACACTTCTTTAGTTACCGCTTAGCTCTGGAGCATGATCCCAGCCAGCTGCAGGGCCCACGACTGAGCAGCAGCAAAGGGCTGCCAGGTCTGGGGTGGTTCAGCCTCTGCAGGGAGCCTTTAAGGCAGCACCAAGGGACAGGGCTCCTCATGAGGCACAGAGGAGACAGCTCAGTTTGTGTGGGTCTTCTCTTGGAACAAGTCCCTGCAGCAGAAAAATACAGGTATCTACAGCATAAAGAACAGAAAAGACCATCTAGGGGACTGAAGGACTGTAGCAACAGTTAGCTATATCTACACAGGTATCTGCTCAATCTATTTTTATATATATGGGTTTATATATATATACAGAACTATATATATATATATTTCTATACATATAAAGATATATATATATATATTCACAAACCATCTAAATCAGTCTTTCTTTGCCCTGAGAGAGGACTATCAAAGGCAGAGTCACAGTTCCAGATACGGAATGGCTGTGCAGCAGGGATGGGGCAGAGGTCTTTTTGTGGTATTTCTCCTCTCCTCCATCATATATCCCTGATGGTGTGCAGTCTCCAGAGTGCATGGAGATGAACCAGGTATCTATTTCCAGGTATGAATGGGCTCTCAGTACACTCTGCTTTCTACTGAGAGCATACAAAATCTTAATAACCAAGATAGATTTCATGACATGTCTGTTATCTAACCCAGGCTGTGACCTAACCCTCCCCACAGGATATAATAAGAAATTCTATAACCAGATTTATATGGGAGAGTCAGAATAAATGCTCAAATAGTCTTCTGGGATCTCTGGAAAGTCTGAGCTGTGCTGGTGGAGCCTTTCCTACACTGGCGTGGAGGGCAGGCCCATGTTCTTTTGACTTCATCAGTACTGATGAAGATCCAGATTCACCATTTTTTCCAGTTTCTCACGCACAGACCCCTTTTATTCTTTCTTTTCCAGGTGGTGGATGTGCAGGTTGTGGTGGTGCCATGTGCTACAAGTGGCCACGCTGCCAGGAGAGATGAGGAGAAAATGCACTCAGCTGCTGCCAGCACTTGCAGCCCTGCAGCCAAATTATGTTCAGGCCAACTTCACTGGTGCCTTGAAGTGCAGAGGGAAGGCAAGGGAGTTGCTACTCTGTTCACAACTCACCTGAACTGCAAGGGTGGTCAGGAAATGGAACTTTAAAGCAGTGAAAATGGTAATTTCTTTGGTTCTCGGGATCTGGGGGTCCAGACCAATATGCTCAAGTCTTGACATGAATTCAGTTCCTCACAAACAAGGCTCTGATCTGTGACTGACACTTGCAGAACACTCTGCATGGGTAAAAGGACTGCTGGGACCATTTGGTCAAGAAGCTGGAAAAAATTCACCAAGCTGTTGCATGACAGAAGTACATGAAGCACTGAACTGCTATCCCTGTAAGACATTCCCAAACACACAGCCAGCTATAGAAAAAGGATCTTTGGGAATTTCTGCTGCAGATTTCAGCCCATGTCAAACATTCTTTCAAATCTCTTGCCATTTCCAAACCTGTTCACAGTGCTTTAAAACATACCACGATTACCACAGGAAGGAAAAATTAGCTTTCAGCTTTGATTTTTTCTTTTATATGGGTGGAAGGAAGGGATAAGAAAGATATAACACCAAATGATGTCTAACACTGTTGCCATGAAGCTGTCAAGGACACTGAGTTACAGGTCACCCCAGATGGCAGTTCTTTTCAAATCTGGAGTTTCTTACTTCCTTCCTAGCTGCTCTTTGGTGGGTCCTAAGGCAAGGAATCCAATGCCTCAGTGCTGTATAGCTTTCCAAAGGTTTCATTTACAATTTCCATGCTGCCACCACTCACACTTTTTGTGTTTGTGCAAGGAAATAATTGTTATATCTGCCCAGCTTTAGGCCGAGACCTCAGTAAAAGCAGACTTGGTTAGAGGCACTGTGTACATCTGAAATGGCAGTTATTGAGAAGTGGTTTTATCCGCATCATAATAAAATATTATCTTTACTTATATAATTTTGAGTCCAAAGAAAGAAAGAAATCAACAGTTAAATCAACAGAGAGAACTGAAATACAGTGCTTGTGTGCTGGCGTGTAAGAAAAAGCAATGATTAGTGCTGGAAACAACTAGAAAATCCAAGTCTCAGAATAACAGTTTTACACTCACCAGGTCATATATAACTGCCAGCCTTTCTCCCTCAGTCCCTGGCACAAACCCCATTAAGAATAGCATAATGTGGAGAGTAACAGCTGCTTCTTTTTCTAGAAAACATTTTAAACAAGATTATGCTGCACTTTTCCTGCACTACAAAATGAAATAGAACCATTTACTGTCAGAATGGAAAACAATGCTTCATTCTCTTGTAACCAGAGAGAACTCAGTTTGGACAGCATTGAGAAAAATAGCTATGGCCATTGTAAATAAGGACTTTATTGAATTACAGGACTTGAAAGATTGTTTTGAAGGGTTAGCCAAGCTTTTCCCTACACTAAATAAAATTAATAACATTTCCAACCTCAGTGAGAACAGCATGGGTGGGAAGTTGATAGTCTATCCAAAGCAGAGAATTCTTTACAGAATTTGATCACTTGCAGAAGGAAAGAGGGTGGAGACAGTCTGCAGTTAAGCCAAGAAAAACAATAAAAGTTTCTCAGAGAAAAGCAACTCAGAAAACCAAAATGATAATTGAGGATTATGCAACATATTGATGCAAATGCGGTGGTAAACCACGGTGATAATCAGCATGGATAAAAAAATACAGACAAGTCATAAAGAATTGCCAACTTAAAAAAAAAAGGAAAAAAAAGAATAAGCACCAAGAATACTCCTATTTCATTCTAATTAAAGATCCTAATTTAACTCCCATCTCTGATTCTTCATAAATTAATATTCATAGAGCAGACCGAAATTTCTGCCCCCAGTGTTTATACTTTTATTTGTTTATATTTGTCAGATAGCAGCTGACCCACAGCAGTAAAATGTCACATTCCCATTTACTATCTTTAGGGAGCTCAGAAAAGGCTGACAAGGTAGATTCAAATCAGTGGAAACAGAAGTAGCTTCCTCAAGCAGTATTTCACAGACCCTGAAAGAAAGAGCAAGCATCAATTCAAAGAACGTATTTGCTGGAGAATGAGACAACTGGGAAGCCTGGATGTGCTTTATCTAAACTTGTGGGACAGACTGTATCTGTTTGTGGGACAGACTGTATCTGCTTTATGTAAACATTTTGCAGAAAGGATGATATATTTTGCAAGGCAAAGAGCAAAGGTTTACATTAGAGTCCAAAAATTATCTCTTCAAAATAGTATCTATATCCATAAGAGGTCTAATACCAAGATGCTGGACCAATAGCATCAAATGAGGGAAAACTGGTGACACAAAGCTTGTGCCTTTCTGTAACCAAAAAAAAAAAAAAAAAAAAAAAAAAAAAAAAAAAAAAAAAAAAAAAAAAAAAAAAAAAAAAAAAAAAACACAAGAAAAAAAAACCAAAACAAAAAACCCCCCCAAAAAAGTACATTCTCGTCTACTGAGACTAAATAAATGATAAGAACCAGCAAAATATTTTGTGCTGGTATTTGGGATATTTAACTGCAACATCCTGCTTCTCTCAGTTTCAAGTGGTAGGATAACATTTATAATACATGCAGAGGCAGCAGATTAGCATTGCAGATGCATGAAAGTCCATTCTAAGCCACCTCACAAAATCATATTAACGGGATACAAGACTGTATCCCGTTATCTTTGAATAACATGAGATCCCTTTTGCTATCACTGGCTCCAGGGTTTTGTCCATGTGGGTCTAAAGCACTGCTCATGCAGTTGTGTCCACACAGAGAGGAAGTGCCCTGGCTGAAGCCCACACAGGGAATCGCTGAAAATCCATTTAGATACTCTGTGCAGAGAACAGCAACTGTGATCAGCAGTTTTACTTCTGCTTTTCCAGACACATTAGACCATCAGAGTGACACCGTATAATTTCAAAGTACTACTGCAATAATTTTTTCTCACTAACAGAGAGCATCAGGCAAGCGAACGTGAGCTGAAACACAATTAACCTTGGGGGTTATGAACAAATAACTCCCAGAGGGATTCTGATTTGCCGCAGCCTGTACATAAGCACCGCACGATGCTTTCAGAGGTCTCAGATGCCTGGGAGGATGCTCGACCCGGCCGCAGCGGAGAGCAGACGGCGTTTCTGCCGAGCGGGTCGGTGCCTGCGGCGCCCCGGCACGGACCGAGCCCGCAGCCCAAGGTCAAGCACGAACAGCCGGGGCTGTCGCCTGGTCCGAGACACTCATGGATCCAAATCCTCTTCCCTCCCTGCCGCTGCGTCTAATTCAGACGCTGAGCTCGGGGCTGCAGCTCACGCTGCGCTGGAGATCAGCTCACCTGGGCTCTGCCCAGCGCTCCCGCGGGAGGAGGAGAGAGAAGATGGGGCAGGAGAAGAAGCGGCCCCGGGGCAGGCTGGCGGCCAGGAAAGGTCCCCAGAGTGCCAGCGGTGGGCAGCGCCCCAGCTGCCAGCGCCATTCCCGCTGGCCAGCCCGCTCCCCACGGCCCTTGCCCTGCCCTTCTCCGGCTGCTCCCCGCGCCTCCTTCCAGCAATCCCGTCAAAGCCGCGCCATCCAGTCCCTCCCAGGGGCCCCAGCAGAACACTTTGTGCACCCCGGGCTGCTATAATGTCTTCTCAATTCAAACCATAGGCTTTTGCCCCATCAGCTTCTCCTAATTCACTTTTGTAATGATAAAGAGATTACTTCAGAATTATTTATAGCATCC